CATAGGGAGACAGCTCAGGGGGCAGGAGTGCATGGAGGGATGGACACAGGGAAGAGGTAACTATGGGGAGGAAGTGGGAGGGGAGCTGTTGCATTGTGCTAAATTGTAGTCAATGTCATGAGACAAAGTGTATGTGAACTGCTGTATGGAAAGTGTATTTGCTCTGTACATTTTCACCCAAATCACAATTAAAAAAAAAAAAATCATTGTTCTGAAATGCTGGACTCATAGTCACTGAAAACAAGGCCCAGTGAGGTGACCCGGCCTCGCTCTTTCTGGCCCAGGGAGCGCCATGGCACCACGGACAGAAGGCCCACTGGGTGCCCCATAGTTCAATCAGGCCTTTCTACTCAGAATGCCCTCCTTCTCCATCTTGACTCGAAGTTCTACTTCAAGGTCACTTCTACCATGTTGACTTCTAGGCCTCCCACAGGCCCCAAACCCCTGCTTTTAACCTCCTGTTGCCTGACTTGCTCTCTGCAGTGGGCTTTAACACAATCAGTGCTTGACGTTAGCTATGAATGTTTGTACGAACGCTGTCCCCTGACCAACTGTCGGCTCCCTGAAGACAGGGGCCGTGGAGTCGTCTCTGACTCACGCAGAGGCCCACACAGTGGAAGAGCCGTACAGCTGCCTGCATGTAGAGACCTGTGCATGACTCAGTCAGAGCCACTAACTGAACCTGCCGGAAGGAGAACGGGTATGGAGTCTAAATTGGGCCTGTGTAAGAATTGATCCAAAAATAAATAAAATAAAATAAGGATTCTGTGAGAACTTCAAGTTGCTTCTAAATTAGACACCAAGCAGCCCACTTAATTCTAAACTCGGCTAACATTTCAGCCCCTTCCGCTTTGAACAGAGGAAAATTAAAAAAAAAAATGACACCAACTGTTTCCCAAGCTTGCCTCTGGAAAGGCTGCACAATGACGATCTACCGTCCCTGGGGAGCACAAGCGGTAACTCATGTACAGTGGAGGAGGGGCGACTCCAAGATGCACCTGGGCTGGGGACACACCCCACTGAGTGCCCTTCCAAGTGGAGACCTCTACGGGGGGAAGCGCATGACGATGTGTGATCCCAGCACAGCTACATCTAAAACCCACTCTGAAAATGGGACCAACAGTAGGTGCTATTTCCTCTTTAAGAGACCCTCAGGGCAACAACTCCAAGTTGCCAAAAGCTTGGGTATTTCTTCCACCAAGTATCTACAGACAGTCGTGTGGCTCTGATTTCACCTCTGGGCAAGCAGGGGAGACACTTTGTCCTTTCTGACGGCCTCTCTGCTGCTGAGCCGGCTGTGTTAGATCAAGTCTTTGGAGGTGACGTAGCTTTCTAAGCTAACAACACCTCAGAAACGCAAGCCCCTCCAGTCGAGCCCTGTCGACGAATGCTGACCTGGGTCTCATGCTCCCAAAGACCAGCCTGTGCACCAAGGCTGCTCGCTGTGGGGGACGAGACAACGGCACGGCCAGCATCCAAAGAAAACTGTCACCCTGAAGCAGTGACGAGAGATTAGTGTTGAGTTTGCTGCAATGAGCTACCCAAGACCATGCACGTGGGAAAGGGCCAGTCTGCAGGTATCACTTACCTCATCCAGAGCTTTTCAAATTCCCTGGGTGTCAGAGGAATGTCAAAACCGTAGAGCGCGTTCTTTATGTCCCGTCGTCGGAGAATGCCATTGCCCTCATTATCAGTCTCTATGAAATTCTGCAAGATGAGAAGGTGGTATTTAGTAATATATAAAAGGTGTTTATCCAATGATAACATAAAGGGTTTTCAATAGCTGTTGTTTGGAACAATCTAGGGCTTCTCTCTCCCTACCCATCCACTCAATGACCTCCTCATCCAAGTTCCAGACATCCTCATCCTTCCTGTAAAGAAGGCAACAGAAGAAAATGCAGACAAGCATCATGCATTGGGAGGGGTTATTTCCGGGTAAAATGGTCTCAGGGTACGCACCCTTGAGTCTTCTGACCCAAAATGTGAGTTTAAACACTATTACAAAGAAGCATCAAACAAACTAACCGGAAATGACACCCACCGTGGCCCAAGGAGCTTGAGGGCCAGCATTTTGGCCCTCTGTCTGTCAGGGGAAACAAGGGACTTACAATCCAGCTATTACGACAAGGTGATCTGGCACTATTTTAATGTCCCCCGGGGACGCTCAAAGAATGTACGGAGTGACTAGGCATTGAAGGAGACCAAGGACTCTAACTTAAACACTAACCTGAAAGATACTCAGCACTGTCTTAAATTGTTTTCAAAATTGCTCTTTGAGCCCCCTTGTATCAACCAAAGGCGGAGACACAAAGAACATGCACTAGGTTGGATCGTGTTCCCCCAAACTTCATGTTCTTTCTGGTTCCTCAGAATGTGTATTGAGAGACAGGTCACTGTAGACGTAATGAGTGAATTCAGCATGAGGTCACATTGGAGCAGGGCGGGCTCTCAATCCAATGTGAGTGGTGTCCTTACAAAAGAGGAGACGAGACACACAGACGGAGACACACGGACGTACAAAGGAAAAAAATCTTCAACAAAAAGTAATCTCATAGGCAAATGTAAGGGGCAGTTTTATGGTATCTTTGCTTTATAAGCACGATTCAAAAAGAAAAAAATGAATGAAATTTAATTACAAATTTGTGTTATTGGGCACATAGCGTATAAAGACAGAATGCGTGATAACAGCAACCCGAAGGGGGAGGGGCAGCGCAGGGACAGTGTGGGCGCATTACTGAAGGTCGCTGAGGGCTTCCCCTCCTCCGCGACGCTCCACTTTACCGAGCACGGTGCCCTTCTCCAGCGACTGGTCCCTTCTGACAACATGACCAGAGGAGGTGAGACCGAGTCTGGCCACTCTCACTTCCCAGGAGCCTTGCGGGCGCCGTCCTCCAGGACAGATGTGTTCCCCCTTCCGGCGGTCCACGGCACTGCCAGTATTCTTTGCCAGCACAACTTAAATGCATCAACCTTCTTCGGTCTTCCTTGTTCTTTCGCAGCACTTTCGCCCAGTGCGATACATCGTCTGATTTCTTGACTGCTGCTTCCACTGGTGTTGACTGCAGGGTATTGGCGAGCTTGCTAATAATGTTAATAATGTAACTAAGGTCCAGGGCCCCCTTGTTGGCGTTGTTGTTGTTGTTATGTGCCGTCGAGTCGCCCCCGACTCATAGCGACCCCTCCTTGGGTTTCCTAGGCAGTATCACTATGGAAGTACATTGCCCCATCTTTCCTTCCGAGGAGTGGCTGGTGGGTAGGACTGTGCAAATAAGGTGCACGGAGCCCTCATGTGAGGCTTGGTCAGTTCTGTCATCTCAGATTCAGAAAAGGGGGATTCTCACTGCCATCAAGAGAGAGAAGCCGAGAGGGGAGCGCGGCCTTGGAGCTGGGATCCCTGTGCGGAGACGACGGCAGAGAGATGGCATGAGAACCAAGGGGCCAGCGTGAGACAGAGCGGGGGGCCTGCTGCCCACAGAGCAGGAAAAATGAGTGCCTGTGGACGGAAGGCTTGCTGGCAGAGTGAGGTGTACCTACAGACAGACCCAAAAGAGCTTCGTGACATTTGTCTGAGCAGGGCAGAGGCCAGGCTGAGAGGCCAAGAGGCTGAGAGGCCGAGAGCCACAGAGAGTGGTATGCCTGGCGCATGGCCAAGGGCAGGCTGTCCGGATGGAAGAACTGTATCCTGAGCATTCCTGAACCTGAATTGTAACCTCCTGCTTCCCTAATAAACCCCATGATCATGAGTACTGTCTGTGAGTTCTGTGTGGCCAATGCAATGAATTTCCAAGTGCCTAAGGCATTTGACTGCTAACCAGAAGGCTGGAGGTTCAAACCCACCAGCCACTCCTCGGAAGGAAGGTTGGGCAATCTACTTCCGTAGTGATACTGCCTCAGAAACCCAAGGAGGGGTCACTATGAGTCAGATCCGACTCAATGGCAGTGAGTTTTGAGTTTGGCAGAGAAGTAATGAGTGCCATGGAGGGACGTTTGGTGTCAAAGTTGGTAAAAAAAGGTCAGAGGGTGGCGGCATGTCTGACTTTGACCTCACAGGAATCGGACTCGGGCTGACGCTGCCGATGGTGGTTCTCTCTCCCCTCATGAAGTCAGAGGGGGTCAGAGGACGTCTCTCCCCTGCCCTTTCTGTAGTCACAAAACAAAATGTGCATGAATTACTAAATGGAAAACCAATTTGCCCTGTAAATGTCCATCCAAACCACAATTTAAAACAAAAGCAAAAACCAAGGAGGGAGCACACCTGAGAACTTGGCCAGCGTTTCCTACGGCCAGGCACTGGGCAGAGTCTCTGACGTGTAAAACCCTTACAACAACCCCAGAGGGGAGATAATGCTGTTACCCCACTTTACAGACAGGAAGACTGAGGCAGGGAGTGACTAGATGCCTTGATCACAGGTGGGGCTGGCATTCCAGCCCTGGCTGTTCCATCCAGACACCTCCCTGCTCCTGCCTCACAGCAGCAGTGCTTACAACAGGGCACCCCCGGACACGGCAGTGGGATGGACGAGCACGTGCCTACACCCATTTGATGGGTGTGCACAAACGTGACAATGAATGGAATACAGCTGTCCACATTAGCATGCAGCCACAGCTCTGATCTGATGTAAGGGGAGTCTTTTGGGGTGTGTCTTGCATCGAATTTTATCTTACAAGACATGAAAGGAGAGAGAAGCAAGGGGGGGGGGACCAACTATCACCAAGAAAGAAGAACCAGGGTGGAGAGGACCCTTTGGACCAGAATCCCTGTGCTGGGAACCTCCTAGACCTGGGGAAGCTTTATGCCAAGACGTATGGAGGTCTCCAAGGAATGTCAGGCCCACAGATGCTGAAAGGAGACAAGGACCTTTCCCCAGAGTCGATAGACAGATAGTCTTCTTATTGAGCCGGTGCCCTGAATTCAGACTTCTAGCTTCCTAAACTAGGAGTCAATTCCTGTTTGTTAAAGCCATCCACTTGTGGTATTTCTGTCACACCACCACTACAGAACTAAGATAACTATCATAAAAATACACTAGCTTACCTTTGGATTGAAAGGAAGGCATGCTGAGGATTATCTAAGGCAGGAGGGGCCAACAACAGCCCACAGGGCAAATCCAGCCTGCCATCTTGTTTTTGTAAATAAAGTTTTATTGGAACATAGTCATGTCCATTCATTCACACACTGTCTACAGCTGCCTCTGTGCTGTAAGAGCAGAGCTGAGTGGTTGACTCAGAACAAACCTTTTGACTCTCTAAGACAATACATTTAGTGTCTGCCCTTTTACAGACACATGACAACCCTCAGTCTAGGGTATTCACAATATGCTATCACTAACCTAGACAGTGGTTACACAGGTGAATAACATAGTTTATACCATATGTACACATTTTACGTACCTCACTGTAGACTCAAGGATTCCAGAGAAGTCCCTTGAAGCACTTACAGCAGGTAAGGCCTGCCTCACACTGGAAACCACCCCTTGCCCAGTCCCTCAGACACATCCACGCTACAGTACTCAGTGTTGCACAGCACACCGTCAGTCTCTCACTGCCAGGCCCTGATTCACCCCCACTGGCAGTCTGCTCATCCCCATGTTCCATCTGTCAAATGCCTGATTATCTTTTGAGGTTAACCTGTGCCACCTTTCCTAACTCCTTCAGCAGAAGTGACCTCTTCGTTAGGTCACTGTACCCAAGCCGTGTGTCCGCTGTATACTTCGTCTTCACAGTGATGACTGGTAGTCAGTCCCGAAGGCTCTAGCCCTCCCTGGACCACACCTCTCTTGGGAGCAGGGACTGTGTCTGCTTTGCCGTTGCGTCTTTAGGACCTCTCACCATGCCTCACACACAACTGGTTCATGATGAATTTTTGCTGAAGAAACACACACTCATTTTCCAAAGAGGCTTAACCAGAAACAAACACAGGAAGCGAACTCAAGTGGAGCAACTTCCTCGAGCTCCCCAGATTTCAGCTGGATTCACCCCTGCGTAGCACGGCTGTGCGGCCAGCCAGGTGACTCAACGTGAAGATGACTAAACACCCGAATCTTTGTCCGCGCTCCCAGTGTGACTTTACTACAGGACACGGCCTTCTGGCTTTCTGTGCGGTGAGCACCCAGTGCAAGTCTGAGAGACGCAGAACGCAGCACATGGAGGACGACGCCACACCTTTCATACCTACATAGGCCATGGCCTGCAAGCCAAGGGCAGGGCCCCGTGTCCAAACACTTCCTGCAGGTTTAGAATCAAAACCACTTCCCCAAGGGCTGGATGCATTGGAGTACGGACAGAGAGCTGCCCCCTCCAGTCCTGCTAAGACAGGCAAGTCTACTCGGTCTTGGGAAGTGAGTGCCCAGCGCTCACTTCAGGACCAAGTGGCGAACGCCCTCCCTCCACATACCCGTCAGGACCTCTCTGGTTCCTTTACTCCAGGTGGTCCTCTGCTTCTCCCTCCATATACCCACACCTCAGGCCCCCTCTGGGCATCATGGCAGTGACCTGGGATTATGCAGAACAAGTACAACACGGCTGAGTTGCCAAGGGCACCAACGCCCAAGATGCAGGCCTATTGGGGGAGCAAGAGCCACACAGAGGAGAGGAGGCCAGGCAGGGAGAGAACACCCAGCCTGAGAGGCAGGGGGAGGCCCCACAGGGCAGGGTACAGGGAAGGCCTCAGTAACAAGGACCCCTGCCCACTCACCGCTGTGCCACCCTGTTCCCCTCCACTGCACTGAGGGCCACGGGAGTGACGGCTTTACTCTCCATGAGGCAGGGACTAGACTGACTGTTATCATTGAATTCCCTGGTGCAAAGCCCATGCACGGCATTAAAACCAAAATCCAAACCCACTGCCGATGAGTGGATTCTGACTCACGGTCACGTTAGAGGACAAAGCAGAACTGTCCCACCGGGTTTCCAAGGCTGTGATCCTCACGGAGACAGACTGCCACATTGTCGTTCTTCAGGGCAGCTGGTGGGCTCAAAGTGCCAGCCTTTCAGCCAGCAGCCCAGTGCGCGACCACTGTGGCACTAGGGCTCCTTGGGAGCTGGAAAGGGGCCTAGATTGGCCATCAGGCGGTGCTCAGCCAGCAGTGGTGGGACATGGGGGCCACCGGGGCCAGGGTGTGTTAGAGGGGGGAAGGGAAGAGGCTGAGGGTATAGGAGGAGCGTGGACGGCCCTTGGGGGAAAGGGGGCGCTGGGCCAACTGGGGAGTGGTGGCGGGTGGGAAGCTGGAGGAGGCACTTGGGTCGTGTGTGCCACGTTCATGGCCCAGACCTGCCCAACTTCCTGCTCAGTCCATCTCGTGAAGCGTCAGGCTGAGCCAAGGGCCGGCCTAGGCAGGGCTGTCCCAGTGCCGGCCGGTTCCGGTTCTACAGGACGCCAGCACAAAGAGCATCAAGTCCACTCCACGCCTCGAGGCCTGGCTCCTTCCAGAACTGGCCCGTCCACAGCCCCTTCTCCTCCCTCTGCTGGTCACAGCCCTCTGCCTCGGAGCAGAGTGGATGGTGCTGGGGAGAGGCAGCCCAGGAAGTGGACAGGACTTAACAGCCAGAACTTCTGATCAGGTCAAGACAGGGTGAACGCAGATGGAAAGTGCCCGGGGGGAAGACAGGGAGAAGGATTACAGAATATCCCAACAGGCAGTTCTTGAGGTCTTCTACATGGAGGTAGTTACCACGGCCTCACCGTACTATGAAATGTGGACCCACATTCTAGATTCCAGGGGGCGCCCATTTCACACGCATGCCTCCACTGTCCCATACGGGCAGCCTCACTGTCAGATTATGTACCCCATCCTGATGTCAGTCACAGTTCACATGACAGCAGGGAGAGGGGACGGGCCTTGTATGATTTTGGCAAATTCACTTTTGATAACTTTGGCAAGAAAGCAGGAAACAGCACTTTTTAAAAAGGCATGTTTCTAATTTTGTCCAATTAAGTATGACACATCACATATTTTTCTCATTTAAGTTTTTCATTCCAACCCAACATGAAGTAATGCCAGGTATTTTTGTCCATGTAACTCCTACAGTTACTTCTCTTTCTAAACAGCCACTGACCTTGAACATGAGAATTTAGTTTGAGGACGTATCTTCAGAATAAGAGGTATCTTACACGGGGTCGGCAGGGCCGTGTCCCCTGGTCAGCAGCTGGGACTGCACAGTTTGTCACCCGGGGCCACACTGGGTAGGCAGCATCATGTCCCCAGTTTGGCAGCCAGCTCTGGTTACTCTGATCACCCGGGGCCACACTGGGTCAGCAGGGCCATGGCCCCAGCTCAGTGGGTGGGTCTAGATGGTGTGACAGTCTCTGAACGTTAGAATCTCTCTTTCCTCTTAAGGAGATAAGTGTCCTGCTTACCTTTGACAAGTCGGGCCACCGAGTTTTGGCTTTGGTAACAAGATACTGATGAGCCTGCTCACAAGCTAGTTCTGAATCCGTAACCTTCTGTTTAGGTCTTAAAAGAAAGAAAAATCAATCCATCAGTAACTGTGTTTTAAATCTGACGGGCTCACTCCTCTCCTAAGGTTCCCCAAGGCCCCAGCCCCCCTTCGCTTTTAAGTACCACTGAAGTCTGTTCTTTTGCACCTGGGTTAACATAATTCTTAAAATACAGTCTTATTTCCTTGGTTGCATGCTACAGAAGTCTTCTTAGATTTTCTAATTCCTTGTTTATTAGGAATCAGAATCAACTCGATGGCAGAGTTTTGTTGTTTATTTGCAGCTAAATGCTGTTCAGTATTTTTTTCTTTTTTGCAGCTCACAAAACAAACCCACAAAACCCCAAACCCACTGCCATTAAGTAGATTCCAACTCATACTGATCCCCACTGGGTTTCCAAGACTGTCAATCTTGGAGCAGCTGCTGGGTTTGAACCGCTGACCTTCTGGTTAGCAGCCAAATGTCTCATGAAATAAACCTGGTTCTTTATTCTCAGGGCAGGAAACTTGATTTAATATTAACTGTCTCAGGAAGGAGAAAACTAGCAACTTTTATTCTCAGTTTACAAGTTGGAGTGAGATGCAGACTAAAGAAAACAGCTCAGGGACAGAGTTTCCACATCTCTCGGTCTCAACCGATTTTCAGAGGGTGGGCCTGAGGACTGGAAGGCGGTCCAAATTTTTCGCGCTCAGGCTGGCAGACATGGAAGACATTTAACGGAAGCCCAAGTCAAGCACGTGACGTGGTGGCTGGGGAAGCGTGAGATGCCCCTGGATCTTCCCCACTCACTAAAACCACCCGTTGTTGTTGCTGGGCACCAATGGGTCGATTCTGACTCACAGCAACCCTACAGGGCAGAGCAGACCTGCCCAGCAGGGTTCCCTGGGCTGTAATCTTGAAGGCCAGGTTGTTACTCTTGCCATGACGCTGGTGGGTTTGATCTGCCCACCTTTCGGTTAGCAGCCGAGCCTTTAACTATTGCTCCACCCAGACCCCTACAAAACCACCCAGGGAGGAGGGGAGCGCTGGAAAAACCCTCCTTCCGTACGGCTGCCCTGCTTCCTCAAGCATCTCTCCACTTCAGGGAACTCGAGCTTCTCACACACATCTGCACCCAAAATACCTGCACCCACCCCATCCCCGTCGCAGCCCATCCCCGCGGCACCCCATCCGCACAGTCAGCAGGGCATTCGAGCTGGTACTCCAGCACCTGCATCACACACTGCCCGCTCCCACCGTTTGCTGGATGGACACACGTCTGCGCATCTGTGGGAGGCGGGGCTTCTTTAAGTGCATGTGTGGGTGGGAAATGCCTCTTGCCCAAGGGTGAGTGAGGGGGCAGGTGAACGGGACCCCACCCAGAGCCTGGCATGGACTTCTCCTCCAGGGACCCCAGAAACCAGGGTGGAGAGACAGAAAACAAGCCCCATTAAGTGCTATCTATGCTGCCTGTAAGGAAAAATATGCTACCACCTCGTGTGCAGCCAGGTGAGAAGATGTGAGAAGTTGAGTTTACCAAACGCTGGAACTCAAAGGTTTATGGAATTCAGCCAAGAGCTCTGCTTGGAGCCTGACCCTGTCTGGGGGCTACACACATGGGTAGCAGCATGGTGGCAGTGTCCAGGGCCACGTCAGCCACCGTGGCAACGGCAGGTGCCAGGATGCACGGTCTTCCTCAGTTTCCGCAGCAGTGCTAGCTAGCATCACCATCCCATTTTGCAGGAAGAAACGGCATTTTGGAGAGGTTCAGTAATGTGCCAAAAACTGCATGGCCAATTCTCAGGAACGCTGGCACATTTAGACCCTCGTCTCAGCCCAGCTCTTCTCACCATCGTTTTACTTGCCAAAATAATAATAATAATTTTTATTTTCAGTGCGTTTCTATTTTTAATTTCATTTCTCTCTGGAGCGACACTTCCGGTGCCCTCAGTGACCTCTGCTGCTCACGGGAAGGTGCCACACACTGCTCCCTGCCACAGGGAAAGAGCCCCTCTCATTCCTGCTGCTCTGAGGAGCCTCTCGCCACTGGACGCTTCCATTTCAACTCAACAAGGGTAGGACTGCCCACCCCAGGCCCGATGGGGCACTGCCCCTGCGCCAGGTTCCCAGGACAGAGCCCCTGCAGCTGCAGCCCCTCCAAGAAGACCCCACTAGGACCTTACATGCTGTCCCATGTGTTAAAAGCAGACAGCAAGCCAGTTCACAGCTAAGAGAATCAAGAAATTAAGTGACAACCATTGCTACCCACGTGGCCTCTCCTTTAAATCCCTTCTAGGAAAAGCTACTGCTCTTGCACAGCTATCCTGGAGGACCCTCAGATTCCCTGATGACTGACAGTTCCACCATCTACGGTCACTACGCCCACAGAGGCTAGCACAGCCCTAGATACCCCCACCATGTTTCTGGCCTGTGGAGCCCATAGAGAGCCTCAGGCTCCCAGCAGAGCTCTTAGGTGAATCCCACAAACCTTTGACTTCCAACGTTTGGCAAACACAATACCTCACATTTTCTCAACTGGCAGGGTGCCGAGGACCAGCCGCAGAGCGGGTGGAGCCTCCTCACTCCTCCTGTGTCACTGCTTACGGGGGCCCAATGAGAACTTGCCTGGTTTCGTGTTCTGTCCTGGCACACGCCAGACAGTGAGGC